CAAGCAATGTGACTACTGAAACCTGGGTTACAGGCCGAGACCGTCCCCCCGCGCGCAACGCACCCCTGTGACCCCCAGTCACTCCAGTACAGCCGCAGTGGGATCACAACCAGGGAAAGCCAAGCACAATGTCCTGCAGAGCCTTGGGTGAATAACACTTGTTTTTCTGCACAGCAAGTATGCTACCAGTGAAAAAGCATTTTGCTTCATGTATAATTAGTTAAATAATGATACATCTTCAATCATACAATAAAGCAGACGAAACTTCTTTTTCCCAAGTCTTTTGACAGACTTAATGAACAAATCCTCTATCAATTGGCTGTTGATCTGTATGCAGGAAAAGATCAAACAGATTGGCTGGATTATTCATCAAACCACGCTGTCCATTTAATACTTGATTTTACTAAAGAGAAGGAGAGGAAAATTTACCTGTCATTGCTAAAAGCTGGAGTTAAGATACTGATGAGTGAGCACGAGGACTAGCGAGACGGCATACCCTTGCCCTCGGAGGACGCCGCAGTCTCACTGCTAACCACAGCACAGCAGCAAGGACCAGAACGCAAACTGGGGGGTAGGCTGTGGAGGGACAGCAACACGAGCCAGTGCATCTCAAAACACTGCTCACACCAAGTCCCCAGGGCTTTAAAGCTGGGTGGTGCAGCGCAGGATCAACCACAGCGCCTGTGTCTGGCCCTTGGACCTCACACTGCACCTGCTCACTGGCTGGGGATGATGAATAACGGGAACCACACTCGGGAAGGGCTGGAAGTGACCGCCTGCCCCGAGCAGTGTGGACAGCTTCCTAGCTCGACACCTTCACAGCCAGAAGCAAGACAAGTCTCCAAATCCTGCATGTTATTTGGTTGTATTTGGAACCTGAACGTAGCAGTGTGCCCTGGCTGCCAAGAAGGCTAATGGGATCCCAGGATGCATTAGGAGGAGTGTGGCCAGCAGGTCGAGGGAGGTTCTCCTTCCCCTCTACTCTGCCCTAGTGAGGCCCCATCTGGAGTACTGTGTCCAGTTCTGGGCTCCCCAGTTCAAGAAAGATGAGGAGCTGCTGGAGAGAGTCCAGCAGAGGGCTACAAGGATGAGGAGGGGACTGGAGCATCTCTCCTATGAGGAAAGGCTGAGGGAGCTGGGCTTGTTCAGCCTGGAGAAGAGAAGGCTGAGAGGGGACCTTAGAAACGCCTATAAATATCTGAAGGGTGGGTGTCAGGAGGATGGGGCCAGACTCTTTTCAGTGGTGCCCAGCGACAGGACAAGGGGCAATGGGCACAAACTGAGGCACAGGAAGTTCTGTACTAACACGAGGAAGAACTTCTTCCATTCAATGCCGTCCGGGACGATGTCCTGTGCAGCCTGCTGTAGGTGACCCTGCTTCGGCAGGGGGGTTGGACTGGGTGACCCACAGAAGTCCCTTCCAACCCCGACCATTCTGTGACTCTGTGATTCTGTAGCTGAACGTGAACATCGCGTGGTAAACGCCTGCCTACTTGTGGGCAGACACATCTGTGGGCTGCTCAGGATAACAACAGCAGAGCAAGAGCTCTGCCCCCCATCCCGGTATGGCTCGGCAGCTGGAAATGTTGCTGTGAAATGCATCTCCCAGGGTGATGACTCCTGTACACATCATGAGCGCTCTTCTAGACAAAGCAGCAGCATTTCCAGTCACAAAGCAGCAGCAGCATTTTCCGTGACGCCTGGCAGGGTTGTTTTGTTTTGCTGTTTGTTTGCTTACATGTTTTCCCTTTCTGAGAGAGGGCAAGCATTTGTTCAGCTGACATTGCATTAACGAGCTGCTAATTCTATCTCTCCTGCTGTGCTAGTGCCAGCATTTCACACCACGGTATTTTTCTGTCTTCAGAGAATCTGGGTCTTACACAGATGGGAAAAGATGATATGAATCAATACACATATATATATGTATGTTTCTTAATGCATTGAAAATGATGCCTGTATTTTATTTTAAATCCTTTATTCACAGAGAAAACCTAGTATTCCCATGTGTATCAGAACTGAATATTGACCAAGTAACTCCATAAACTAAAGCAAACATGATTTTTTCTGGCTGTAGAAAACCAATAAAAGCATCTTAAAATTGTAGTGACAGGGGAAAGATAAACTGTGTGCTTCAAAACATATATATCTTCAAACCAACTTAATACTCAAAGCATTTGAAAAGAGGGAGGAGGAGCTTTTCTTCACATAGAATTTCTTCATAAATGGAGATGAAAATCACTATCTAGATGCGGGAAGTCGCACATAAAGCATCACCAACCTCCATTTGCAAGCAAATTAGCTATTATGGCATAGCCTTAGAATACTACACTGAGCTTAAAGCTGAGTTAGACTAGCATTGTAATAAATGGAGCCTAAAGAGCCTCCTTTTTTGCTCCGTTCTGGAGCTTGGGTTTGCTCAAGTATCACCTTACAGAGCTGCTTTCCTGCTTTGCACCAAGTTCTCTGTGCCTGAACTCGCAAGCAGTGTCCCTTTGTGCAATCCTGAGTCCCCAGCACCGACTGCCAGCACAAGCAGGGAGGCACGGTAGAGCAGATCCCAGGTCCACAAGCTGTTTACAACTACTTCAGCCCTTTTCATTGTGAAGAGGCTCCAAAACCCTTTTTTCAAATTAGCTCCTTAATGCAGCATCATATAAATTTCTCTTGTAGTTTAAAACACAAAGCTGCACTGTCTGGGATCTGAAACTGTGAAGATCACATTTCAGAATAAAACCCCAATTTTGGCATTGATTTGTCATGTAAGGAGGAAACCTACGATTTAGTGATGAGGATAAGAAAGTACAATGAATTTACGTAATTCGCCTTGGCACGGAGAGACTGGTCAGCTCCCAGAGATTACTTAACCCTGCTAAATGCTTGTCTATACTGGCTTTTCTTACAGATTATACGTGACAAGAATAGTCTTGGGGAGTTGTTACGTAAGAAGGACTATTTAAAGTTTATTCATTTTATTGTAATTCTGACATTTGTAAATTAAAACCAGCCTGCTTCTTGTTCTTGCGGTGTTGGAGAAGCTTAAAGAATCTCCAGTACGGAAAACATATTCTTACTTCATAGCTCAGTGCTTCACATCAGGAAGTGACTTTATGAACCACAGTGCACTAGATTACAACTTCGCCTATTAATAATTTCTACACGCATCATGCCCTGCACGTTGCAGTCTCCTGGTGAAGTCTCACCTCGCTGCCTTAATGCTCACAAGCCCTATTCTTGTAGTTGTATGGATTTAACGAGAAAAACCCCGATTGTTTGAAGACAGACCACTTACGCTGAATGCTGAATGCCTAACTCCAGCCTACACTAGCACATTACCAAAACAATGGGGTACGAGTCCTTCACAAAATAGGTTCAAGTTCCTGTGGCGCATCCAGCCAAACCGCAGTATTTTAAACACCAACACTTCTGGCAACAGAAGACAATTTCACTTCAGAAGCTGGTGTTCAAATATTAACAGTGAACGACTTTGTTCGCAGCAATCCCACAGCTAAGGCAGAGAATTTGGTGAACAGGACACCATCAGCTCCCCCTTTCCGCTGGCGCTGAGAACCACCCTGTGCGGGTAGCATGGCCATCCTGCAGCGCCTTCCAGGCCGGGAGCTGGGCTGGACCCCGCCATGGCTCTGCCGGAGCCGGGCTGGACCCGGGAGCCACCCTGGCGCTGCTGCCTGCCCCTGCCCAGGGCAAGCCGGGCAGCAGGAAGAGAATCACAGGTTTTCTGCAACGCCTCCAGTAAATCTGTAGTTTTAGAGGCAGAGGCTTAGAAATGGGAAAAGGGAGACCAAAAAATGTGGGAGCGTCTTACTAAAGGCAAGTTCCCTCTAAGGCAAACTGTACAAGCTCCTGAACTTTGGTCACACTGCTTAGGGAATACATGTACAAAATGTTAAGATCCATTTACATGGCAGAGTCTGGCTTTAAGAGAGCTTCTGCAGAATGCTGTGCACAAAGATGCCGTTTTCATGGAAAACAACAACTGCTGAGGACATCATACGGCAATCAACCCCTAATCTAAATACACGCATACATCTCAGAAGATGAAAAATGTTCCACAGTCGCCTGTATGAAATCAGCACTGACTTTCCTCCTTGTGCCATTTCCATCCTGCTTTTCTGTAGAAAGCTCTTCATCTGCAATATTTGGTCAGAATGAGTTTCATAAATACTGCTTAGTGGCTTCCATATAGGACACTGTGAAGAGCTATTAAAAACACGCAAGACTCCTTCTACTTCCTCTCACAAACTAGACGAAGAAATGTATTACTGGGCAGCATGCATTATGCAACATCTTGGATAGAAGTAATCAGCAGTACCACATCTAAAAGGGATAAATGGGGGGGGGGGGGGGCAAAGAATCCCAATTTAAACCTTGGCAGTTTGGCAGTTCCCCCATGACAAACTCTTGAGCAAACATCTGTATCAGCTTGGATTAACGCAGGCTAATTTTCACAGTTATTCTGGTACAGGTGACAAAAATAAAATCCTTACAAGCAGAAGGGACAGATTTCCGTTATTAGGTGATAAAAGCTGCTGAACTCATCTAATATTTCCATCATTTCCAGGGACACCTCGTTAACGCTGCTCACCTCTTGTATTCTAAAACGTTACCAGGTTCCTGCGGATGCAAGCGATACAGGCACAGCCTCCAGGGCATTTTGGCAATTTTATCTCATCGTTGAAGTACACAATGGCACGATTTTATTAACTCGGCTTCACACCCTCTAAGATCAATTTCTGCCACCTACACCAGATCCAGAGCAGTACTGATTCTCCACAGCACATAAGATCATTTCCACGTGCACAGTTATCCGTGCAGCAAGTCCTCCTGCATGTTCCCTTGGAACACCTGAAAATCACTGCTTAAAAAGGCCAAAACGGGATTAACAAAAACCACTATTCTTCTTCAAGAGAGATATAATGACAACCGCGTGGAAAATTATCAAAGTTACGTAGGGATCACCCCCCCAAACCAATAAGCCTTACTTGTGCAAGGTGTGCGAAGGCCGGTCATTTTTCTCCGGTTGTCCATAGCAGCTCGTTTTCGCTTCGGGAATGAAGGAATATTTTTCCAGCATGGCTGATGCAGCAGTGGCAATAATCCCAAGGCCATCCTGTACCCGAGCTTCTAAACTGTAGTCCCATTCATCGTAAGACGCTGAAATGAGTCCTGAAGGAAACTCCTTGGGAGTGATTTCTGTGTTACCACTAACCAGGCTGGGAACGATCCAAAAGAAATCATAGCCAGTAAGGCCCAGGGAACGAGCCTCATCCAGTATGTAGACAGCTTCATCCTTGGAACAATATAGCAGGATGACAGATGAATGAATCTTCTTCAGCTGAATTTGGGTCTTGGCATCTCCAAAGGCAGTATCAAGTACAATGACATTCTGCATGTCCCAGCCCACAAAACTATTTTCCACTGTGGTCTTGATGACATTGATGAAGTCTCGATATCCAGGGAAGGTGGTGGTCACCAGGGAAAACACGTGCCAGTCATAATCCTGCATGATCTTCAGCATGACAATGGCTTCTTGCTGGATGGAAGCCCCAAACTGGAAGAACGTGGACATCACATCCTAGAATACCAAACACAGTGAAAGATTACTACTTTTGTGCAAATCTCAAGAGAACATTATCTCTAATCCTTCCACTCTCTTTGGTCCACTATGGCCTACCAAACTTTCATTGCATTCAAATAACTTTCCATGCCTTATCACATTCGTATCATTAATAAGCAACACTGATCATAAATAAGTACCACAGCTAATGAAAATATTTGCCAAAAAGTGACAAACGTATTTACGTAGGGAATTTCTGAGCCCTTGATCACTTGACAACTCCAATCAGTACTTGCTGAGGAAGCTCCCTAGAGACAGCCACCCCCTGTTAAACAGCTCCTCTCCAGCAGGCAGCTTCAGAGTCATCAAACCTATTAGGAACGTGACCCAATAAATTCATACCAATTTCTTAGCTACAATGGAAAGAAACTGCAATGCGCACGCTGTATACATACAAAGCAGCTCTGTACTTCCAGACCCAGTGTCTGACGGACACTTCATTCCCACAGCTTCACCGGACCTGGTGGAAGCTCTCGGACTCTGTAGAAGCCAGTGTACCGTCCCCAGGTACTGAGGTCGCTACTGCTCGTGGGCTCGCTGCTGATCATGCTCCGGCCAGAGCATGCGGCCCTTTGACGGCTGATGTCGAATGAACAGGACGGGACCCCAGGGACCACCAGCAAGCTGCTGGTGCCCTCACTCACGGATGTCAGTGGCAGTAAATTCAAACGAGGGCCTCGCAGTCTGTATTGGTAGCTGCCTTGCCTGACACAGCTGGGCTGCCAGTTTGCTGCAAGACTTGTTTCTAATATTTGTCTTGGGCTTTTACAGTATTCATAACATTTTACACAGCGTGAGGGCAGGTGCCTCTTATTTTAACAAGGCCTATCAGAAATAGGCAACACAATAATGTATTTTGTTGGCACTGAATTTACAAATATTTTCATTGGTCTATTTTTGCCTAGGTGCTCTAAGATCTAAACTTCTTTCTGAATTTTACATTCTAGATTTATATACATCACAATTATTACAGTACCAAAATTATACACAGTAAGCTATATAATTGTTTATTTTCATTTTACTTCAGTATTTATTCCCGACCAGTAGTGGCAACTGATGCACATCATTTTCCGATACAGAAAGCATGAACCTCTGCTGAAAGAAATGCTTATGAATGAAAAGTAAGATATTAACCACACAAGATTTCTTATGCAGCCTTTACAGGAAAGGGGCACATGGTGCTTTTAAATTACAGAGTTTTATGAATGCGGTTGTGAACTGCTATCCTATTTTACACTTGCGGGGAACAGAGGCAGATTAATTGAATTAGGTTTCACAGACGGTGTTATACAATTATTAGTGAGAACGGTAGCACAGCTCTACAAGGTCTATATTTTATCTGTGGAAACCTATTCAGAGGAAACTGAGTATCTATATTTTTCTTTTTAATAGAAGATGAGGAGTGTTATTACTTGCCAAGTGTTCAGAACCTGACGCCAGCACCACAAGCTGTACAACTTGCGTCAGCCTGGGAGGACTGATAGCGCAGGTATAAAATACCCACCGCGGGCAGCAGTGACACCAGCTGCCATGGCTTCTCTGGCACCTGAGAGGGGGCATTCTGAACCAGTGCCCCACCTGCAGCGGTTTGGGGTTCATTACAGATGTTAGAAAACATATTTGGGAGAAGAATTTAAATAGCA